ATCAATATATTCGTCGGGAATATCTCCAAAACGATTCATTTTTATTAATTTTTGAGAATATATTTCACATCAATCACATTAAATAAATCAGTCAATAGTGATATTTTTTATGATTCCATGACGACGTGAAATTATCGCTGTAAGTTTTTTGAAAATTATCGAATTACCGTTTATTAATACCTTTTTTGCGCTATGGCGTTGCTATGGATGAGTGAAATAATCATTAAAATCGCTCTAGATCCCGATTTTGCCCTGCTGTTTCAACACGGGGCGAAAAATGAAATTTTTAGCCAAAAGTGCGCCCCCCTTAAAAAATGCGTAGCAACTAATCGGGGAGAACTACGAACTGGAAAGTCTAGCCAGATACAGCAGACACTTGAGTCTGAAAATTGGGAAATTTTTATTAAAATCGTACGGGATCCTGATTTTTCTCTGCGATCTAAACGCGAGTCTTAAAGTGAACGTTTCAAGGCAAAAGCGCGACTCTCATAGTCGCCTCGCAATGAGAAAATTATGTGAAGCTATCGGTTGAAAGCAACGTGTTAAAGTGAGTGTAATTTTACATATTGATGATTCCGTGCTGATTAGTTGCATGCATTATTTTGAACGGTCGTAATAATAAGAAATAAGTTTCAGTCTTTCGCGGAAGATGCTAATGTACTGAAGTACTAAAAGCGAGATATTAAGCCCTGGAGGGAAATTGTGAAACCTCTAAAACTTTGCATTTTTGCAGAACAAAAGTCGATTCCCTTGTATTGAGACGGTTTTCCATGTGTAGCATAGAGACTAGCGACAGGCGCAAACAAAAAGGCAACTCGGTTTGCTTCGGAGCTACTAGCGACAAAAAGTTCCACCATCAATATATCTTTATTTCCAATATACACCAATTCGTCTCCATAATCCCCTGACACTAAGAACCTCATACTTTATTTTTTATGGGCATCCCTGTCACTCCTTCCGAACGGATAGTCGCCAAATTGATATTGTGCTGATGTGAAAGAGAGTCTTTTCTGCCCGTCTAATTTTTTACTGAGGGAATGATCAATATTTATTAGTTCTGAAAATATGATTGCAAGTAAATAGGGCTTCAATTTGACGTCTCACCTTTAGTCAGAAAATATTATAATAATCCAATGTCTGCGATATGCTGCAGATTAAGGTGGCGTGGCGTGTGTTTCAATTAAACAATTCGAATTCGGATTTTGTAAAATTATTTTCAGGACTATAAGCTTTGCGGCGAAGGGCTCGAAACTCTATTGTTTCCGACTCAAGGGCG